CAATGCAAAACTCAATCTTATCTTACTTGTTGTTAGTGACGCCAATGGTGCAAGAAATAACAGAAACATGAAAAACTGTTTCTTGAGATAAAAATGTTCCTGGAGAACAAAATAAGTTACGTTGTTTGCAATTTCTTCGTTTCAGTTCAGCGTATTAATAAAGTACCGAGTTGATGCTGATTGTCAAATGAACTAGCCCAGCAAATACCACGAGCCGTCAAGGAAAGTTATAAAAGATGATATTTCTTTAAAAACAAAAAAAGAGTAAGTTATTCCTCGTTTTGGTAAAACTCCGCGTCACCTCACCAGTAAAACGTATAAAATCCTTGACTTTTCTTATAAGTGAAGAACATACTTTTGTCTTTCCAAGAAATGATAAGGAAAAAGCAAAGGTTGAATAGCTTGGCACAATCAGCACTCTTACATACTTTCGTCTTTCGAATAAATGATGATAATTCAGGAAATTTCTATTATTTCTGAAATAGTTAGGCGCAATAAGCACTCTAACATAACTAGTCTTTAATCTAATAATAGTTATTTTTATTTATTTAAACGTTCAAAGACTGACTCATATGAATGATACATTCAGATTTTGTCGTGGGTGGATCATCTTGTTTACGTGCATCATACGTCCAACCGAAGAATTTCATGCGAAATTGCTCCAAATTTACTTGAGACCAATTCGAGGATAATTTTGAACATGACAAATCAAACTTTATTTGATGAACATAGAAAATAGTTTGAGACCAATTCATCGCAGTGCTCAATATTCAATTTCTCTAAATTTGACAATGCGTCTGAAATTAGGATGAAATCATTGAACAATTGCTGAAAGCTTGAGTGGCAGAGATGACTTTGATATCTTCTGTAGAACGTTGATATCTGAAATCATTCAACCCTAGTGCTCAGATGTTAAATTTCCCTTGAAAATACACAAGTTTGGAAAATTTCTTAAGGAAAATGTCGAAGTATTGCACTGTTGGTTTACTGCATTTTCCTGAGGTGAAATTGTTTCCGGAGAACAAAATAAAAGTTATTTGTTTGAATTCTCTGTTGAACGACCCTTGACCCACCCTTGACGGGGCCAGTTACGATGGTGACACTGTGACGCTATCTAACCAAGCAAATACCAGGAGCCGTCAACGAAAGTTGCCAGAAAGACTTTTTATTATTTTTTATTATTTCAATAATATCAAACTACGTGGATGCTACGACCCTTCGGTTGATGAAGCGCATAGCCATATGCTCTTTACTTATTTTTTATTCAAGAAATCTTTATAAAAAAGATGCTATTTCTTTAAAAACAAAAAAAGGGTAAGTTATTCCTCGTTTTGGTATAACTCATGACAACAAACCTTTGTCTTTCCAAAAAATGATAAAGAAAAAGCAAAAGGATCATTCAGAAAATTTCTTTTATTTCTTAAATAGCTAGACGCAATGAGCACTCTTACATAACTAGTTTTTAATCTAATGATAGTAATCTTTGTTTAGCTAGACATTTAAAGACCAATTCATAAGAATGCAACATTCGGACTTTGTGGTGGGTGGAATATCTTGTTTACTAGTATAATACATTCAACCGAAGAATTTCATGCGAAATTGCTCAGACTTTACTATTGTGATTGAGCTAAGAATTACGTGCGGAGAGGACACGATATAGTGTCCTATTGTTTCCCTTAGTCTAATAATATTGAGCTAGACGTTCAAAGAACGACTAATATGAATGCAACCTTCAAACTTTGTCGTGGGGTGGATTATCTTGTTTGCGTGTATCACATGTCGAACAAAGAATTTCATGCGAAATTGCTCCAACTTTATTATAGTGATTGCACTAAGAATTACGTGTTGGGAAGGCACAATATAGTTTCCTAATTTTGTTTTCTTTAATCTAATAATAGTCTTCTTTATTTAGCTACACGTTCAAAGACCGACTCATATGAATACAACATTCAGACTTTGTTGTGTGTGGATTATCTTGTTTGCGTGTATCATACGTCGAACGAAGAATTTCATGCGAAATTGCATTAACTTTATTATTGTGAATTGTGATTGAGCTAAAAATTACGTGTCAGCAGGACACAATATAGTTTCCTTTTGTTTTCTTTAATCTAATAATAGTCCTCTTTATTTAGCTAGATGTTCAAAAATCGACTCATCTGAATGCAACATTCAGACTTTGTCGTGTGTGAATTATCTTGTTTACGTGTATCATATATTAAACCGAAGAATTTCATTCGAAATTGAATTGAGCTAAGAACTATGTGCGGGCAGGACACAATATAGTTTCCTTTTGTTTTCTTAGAAGAAGCACGAAAACATCAACGTGGTTTAATAAATTTCTTTTGTATTACAAGTACAATTTCTCTGTGAGTTTTCAAATTCAAAGGTTTGGGTTACATAACTTCATTGGTTCACACAAGAAATTATATCATTTTTAGAGCAAGAAAAGTTATGTGATTATGTTCTTTCTTGTTTCAACTATAACGTGCTTGAACAAGAAAAGTTCAATTCTAAGTTGATCAAGTATATATCTAGAAGAAGATTATTTTAGGGATAATTTTGAACGTGACAAATCAAACTCTATTTGATGAAGAACATAGTTTGAGACCAATTCATCGCAGTGCTCAACATTCAATCCCTAAATTTGACAATGCATCTGAAATTAGGATGAAAAAAGGAAAGTGTCAAAGTATTGCACAGTTTGGTTTTTTACATTGATTTTACCTGCAATATCTCATTCTATTTACAAAAACAGAAGGAAAACATTGAAAAAAATAAAATACAGGCGAAAATCGAAACAATGAAAACCAAATCCCACATAGGTTTTGGCAGACATCCTTTGAGAACTTACTGTTTCAGATTTTAGGTGTGCGCCAATTAGATTGAAATTTTCTTTGGCCACATGTATGCTTCGTTTTCAGTGAGATGAGAAAGATTCCCAATCAATATTTTGTCTCTTCATCACAGACATTCCTTAACTGCTCAAGATCCCAAAACAATAGAGGTAGCGCTTCTGCAACCTTAGCACTGTCTCCTGTTGGCTCTTTCTTATGCTTATGTCACCAATGTCTCAGAGGTCAACTCCCTAATGCCTGAAGCCATCAGAATGTCCGAAAAGTCCAACGTTTTGAGGTCCTTCATCGAGCTGGAATTTTACTTAGGTCGTACAGGATTTTCGCCTCACCTCTAACTGGGTCAACGTGCCAATCTCTTCCGGCAAGGCAGACGCGTCTGACAATTGGGTGACACTGACTGCTTTACGTTGACTAACAACAAAACCCCCCTGGTCCCCCCCGCCCCCCCTTCGTGTACTGGAAAGCGTGGCGCGTCCACGCCGCGACGGTCAACGAACCGTGATGATCACGTCGGCCCTACAGTCCTCTCTGTTACTTCTCCTTCATATCTGACCACAGAGCTCGGCATGCACTTCCACCAAATCAATGGCATAGTCAATGTTCATTTCCTCTATATTCGGGAATGCGATGAGATTGGGTTGGAGCGTTGGCTGAAAGCTTGCCGCTATGACTGAACAAGGATATCTTCTGCCGACTCTCAATTCTATGGGTTTCTTGGTATGGAAAGAATGATGCGTTCCTAATTGATTCTCTTCCAAATTTGGAATACGAGCTCAAATTTGACAGTTACTCACTCAGCTTGTGAAACCTAATTTGTGCCTCTTAAAGCCTTCAATTTATCCATGTCTCCACAGATATTCGGGGAAGGCATAGTTCCTCTGCTGGAAATTCAAGATAGAACCTCACCTTCTGGTACTCTTGCATGTTGTGCCCATTTTCCTGAAATACACGTCTGCAAGTAACACCATCCTAAGTGATTGAGTGTGGGATGAACTTAATCCGAACTCTAAAAAGTTAATGTCTGCATGTTGCGTTTGCTAAAGAGAGAGATGGGACAACCTGTTGAGATGTACAGGCGCGCTTCACAATTTGATGCTTTTTCTGTTCCTCTCCACCACTTGGGAAGTTTGTTTCCTCGTCATTGCTATAATCAGTCTTGGTTCTCTGTTCTTGGGTCTAGTTTTGAGTAGTAGATAGCTATCTCTACGATATCTGTTGGGTAACACAGTGTTTCAGTGTAGTACGCCACCCCCTCCCATATTTTTCCCTTCCCTAGTGTGATCAAACTAAGTTACTTAAAAGAGATTTTGCTTCATAACCATTGCATAACAAATATTAGCAGCAGCACATGGTACTCGTAAAAATAGATGAAGATTCATATAAGAGAAAAATAGAAGCGGCCCACCTTGTGACTACAAATAGCGAGACTTCGCTTTGGTGAGCCTCGTAGAGGTTTGCCATGCCTCTGTGTCTTCATCTAGATCATATAACTCTCCCCATATATCAGGGGCAGCCATCAAGGGGTTCTTTGCTTCAGGAAATTGACCCAGGGCGCCATTTTTTTTCTTTATCCAATGCTTCTAAGCTTGCTTGGGAGACAAAGAAGCCATTCAGCCTTCTGCATCATACCAGGTAGAACCTCTAGACCATGCATTACTCTTCTTTTTCCAGATCTCTATAGCTGCCCGCAAAGTGTCTCCCCAAGCACTTTAATGGCAAGTGGAAATCCCTTACACGCTCTACCATCTGCAGTTTCAATTTTGAAGAAGTCACTTCCCAACAATTCAGGTCTCTGAAAATCATCTCAATGAATTTTATTGAAGATGGGAAAATTTGTAAATAGCTAAAATGGTGCATTGCAAGTAAAAAGTACCCTGTCTTGAAAGATCTTGTGGAATAGAGAGCTCTTATCTCCCAAGGATGCTGAATGAATGAAAGTTTCATTGCATTGTGATATCCAATGACTGTAAAGAATATGGAGAGCCAAATCCCCGAAACTCAGACCTTGATGTCACCAAAAGCTTGTAATTTGGCATTTTAAATTGGATCAAACTCTCCAGAAGGGATTCTGATCCAGACCAAACATCATCCAGGACCAACAGTAAAGGATTTTGTCCTTGTTCCTTGAGAAAATGGTGCAGCCACTTAACTACATTTATCGTTTCCAAGAGTAGGTACTTTGGAACCCCTGCGTCGGTGAAGTTCTTGAACAATACGTTCCAAGTTGGGGTTGCTTGAAACAGTGACAAAGAAGATATTGTCCCCGAATGTATCTATCCAAAGAAAATATAGGAATGCTGTCATTAAGGTCTCTTTCAAATCTGTCTACGGTTGTACAAAGATTAAACATATATAATTGCAGTCCTAGTATATCCAAAGAGTAAGAAATGTGTGGCAATTTTCTCAAGAAAACATGTTCCTAGCAAATATGTGTATATAAGGCCAGCTCTTGATCAAAGCTCACAATTGAAAAGAAATAAAAGATACCTATGACTTCCTGATCTTGACAAAATGCTGTTGCCAAAGTGGTCTTGCCACATCCTCCAGGAGCGGTCAGAACAAGCATTGACACCCCATCTTTAAGATTAAGAAGCTTCCTCTTCAACTCCTTCAAAGGAAAATCCAACCCAACTACAAGCGCCGGAAGTTCAGGTGCTGCACCCCAAACTTCAGTCTCATCTTGATATTGTAACACCAAACTTGATTCAATTCGGCTGACCACCTTCTCTATGTTCCTCACCGAAACCGAGCTCCCTTCAATCCCTTATGCCCTGCACATTCAGCATATCTAAAAGCCCTAGAAGAGATTCGTTCCAATCAAGAAGTTTGTTGGCATATTTGTACTTTTTATAGATGTTCCACGCACGAATCTTTGAGCACTTGTGGACCAGCTCTATGCCCTTCTCCATCCCTACTTTCAGATTTTCTAGTTCCTTATCTGGGAGATCCAAATCCTTGTTGTATTTTTCTATTTCTTTGATCAATGGGTGTAAACTGTCTAACCTGATATGATGTCTTTGAGAGGGTTTTATATATGACATTCTTGCCGATCAGCTCCTTCAGGCCATCATACAACACATTAAACAGTACTCCTAGACCAGCCCCTCCAAAATCTGGTCCTCCCATTCTTGATCCTTAGCAACAAAACCCAACACCAAAATCAGACAACTTGTTCAAGTTACCTCTAAACTTGGAAGCCAATAAGTTCAGAACCCAAGAAACAGAGTAAACCAGAGACTCAAAAGCAGGAAATACAAAGCTCAGCTTTCTCTTTCTTTATTGGCTTATATGCAAGATAAGATAAAGAAGAATTTCAGAAATGATGTTACTGATCTGCGAAGCTCGGTGGAAATTTCTATTGACTGGTTGAGCTAAACGGGCAATTGCATCAACGTTTCTAGGAAACATTCATGGGGAGAAAACTAACCTCCCAGAAATTGCAGGTAGTGGTCAACCAGAAATTGTACTTTTGAGAGGATAAGTTTAAAGAAAGACGACAAAGACATCATGACAAACGGTAAAGTAATCAAACACACATACAACCAGATGCAGAAATTTACATAATATGCCACGCGCAAACTAACCAATCATCAATCATGAAGTGGTGCGGTTATTTTATGCCTAAACTCAAACCTTTTTTATTTATTTATAATGGTTTAGGTCAATTTTCATTTCCAAAAATTTGTATTTACACACTTCCCAAATCTAATTGTGAAATGATAACACAATAATTTTAGAGTTTTTATATTTAAACCTCACACTTCTCTTTGTTCATCTCAACTTTTAATTCAAATTTTCATAATTTCTAAGAACACCTCACTATTTTCACCAACTACCCTTAAATACACACCCAACAGAAAAAAATAATAACAAAAAATTCATCAACCTCACACCTCACACCCCACACCCCTCTATCTTACTCCTCACAACTCTAAGTTCACATCAACCTCACATTACTTAAAGAGATAAAAACACTGTTGTCAAATGTGCAGCAGTATTATTTTATTATTATGAATTTAGGGTTTTAATGAAGATATTTGAGTAATTCTGCTGTTAAAGTTACTGGGTTTTAATGATTTTGCTTGCAGGGTTCACTTATTGCTCATGTTGGAAGCGATTTTTCTATCAGAAGAGAGCAGTGTTCAAAGTGCGCCTTTCTTTTGTTGGGGTGTTATTAATTTCATATATTAGTGTTTGTTTTTTAATTGGACATAAGATTGAGGCTTGTTTGGTTACTGTCGTTATAAACTATGTGGCTACAGAGTCTCGAAGATTTTCAAATATGTTGTAAAATGAGAAGGTTCTGAAATTCTCTTTTTTCTGTAGTTATAGTGGAGGATCCGCTACTGTGATCTTGATACCATTTATTGGGTTCTCAGCTTGACCTTTGAAGCATTAGTTTAGATTTTTGCAGATTGCAGACTTTATGGGTCTTCAAGGATGGAACTTATAGAAAAAATTGTTTGTTTTATTTTTATAATTTCCCCTTTTTTTCTTTTGAGGATCTTATAATCTTAATGGCATTGTAACATTAATTATCTCTTTAGCAACATACCTCAATTGACGACCCACAAGCCACTATTTACATACCATATTTAGGGTCTGTGAAGAGAATATGAGAGTATAATAGGATTGAAAGAGAAGAGTAATGTGGCAACATGGTGTAGAGGAGTTTGTGTTTAATATGAAGAGTGGTGGGGTGTTGTGGCGAACTGACTGGGTAAAACTTATATATTAAACTCGATGGCACGAGTGAATTTCAATAATAAACATAAAAAAAATATTTATATCTAGAGAAATGAGAAGGAAGAAAATTGGCGGAGCTAGGGTTTTTATTTTATTTTAATATTTATAAATTTGTGACCTCCTTTCTCCTTTGTTTTCCTTTTATAGAGGTCCATTATGACACCCGTTTCTGACTTTCCTCCTCGAGCTCCACAACCCTATCAATCATGTTCCGTAATTTTTGAAACAACTGTCTTTGTGCAAGACAAAAAAAATTATTGGCCGGCTTGGGGTTTGTGCGAGACAAAATAATAATAATAATAATAATTTAATTAGAAAAGAAAGACAAAAAGAGAGAGAGGAGAGAAGAGAGAAGGAAAAGAACGAAAAAGAAAAAGAAAAAAAGAGGGGAGATGAGAGAAGGAAAAGAAAGAAGAAAAAAAAGAGGGAGAAGAAGGAGAAGGAAAGGTTCAAAAAAAAACAGAGAGGGAGAAGGAAACGAAAGAAAAAAAAGGTTTGTATAGGTTTAATTAAGTGGGTTTGGCATATATAGTGTAGGTAATATTTTTTAACAATCATTTGGGCACCCTATTGGGGTGTGTATATAGCTTAATGATTTAAGTATTGGGGAACAAAGAAAAGTGTGGGGGTTTAATAGAAAAAACTCTAATTTTATACTTGAAAGTTGAAACAAATGAATCAATTATTAATTTTTTTTCTTTCTTTCTCCTGTCTATGAAGCCAAAATCATAAACGAAACAAACTTAGCAATTTGAAGCACATATTAGGTGGATTCAATTGCTTGAGTAAAGCTAATATTTTAGCATTGCGACTAAATTGGAGTTTACAGCTTTTAAATTTTTCCAAGAAGAATGGTAGACTATTGTCTTCTTTACTGTATACTTCTTTCGCACAAGGAAGGGTAGCCCCTGCCCTCCTCTGTCCTTCCTCATAAGAAATTAAATCTCTACTATATTGGTAAATCCAAATCCTCTCATTCAAACTGTTTTTACTATGCAAAAATATCTAATACAAAGGCAAATGAGAAATAAACACCACAAAAGAGAAGAAAACTAGGAAAATGAAAAATTGATACACAAATCACAGAGACATTGCTCCAACATACGTTTATTAAGTACAGTCAGCTCTCAAAATTTGTGGAGCCAATGCAGGTTGAAGTCTTCTTTTACCACCGATATCCTTGTGAGACGGGATTTGAACATTTCCCCCCATAATATTTCTGTCTCTTCATCGCATATCACTTCTTGTAACTTCCCAAGATTCAAAACTGATACAGGCAACTCTTGCAATCTTGAGCATTGTCCCATGTTGATTGTTTCTAAACCACTCAATTCACCAATCTTTTCAGGCAATTCCTTAATGCTGAAACATTTATATATGTCAAGAAAGTGTAACCTAGTGAGGTACTCCATGGAGCCTGGAAGTTTTACCAAGTCTGTGCAGCACCTTAGCCTCAATACTTCTAAGTTGACCAGTTTCCCAATCTCTTCAGGCAAGGCAGATAGCTTATGACAGTTAGTGACGCTGAGCTTCTTTAGTTGAATAAGATCACAGAGGTCGGCAGGCAATTCCACCAGATCATCGCAATAGTCAATGTTGATTTCTTCTAGATTCGGGAATGCTGATGAGATTGGGATGGAGCAGTTGCTGAAAGCTTGACCGATATTACACATGAACAAGGATATCTTCTGCAGACTCTTCAATTCTATGGGATTCTTGGTTATGGAAAGAATTGAGATGCGTTCTAATCTGATTCTCTTTAAATTCGATAACGAACTCAGAAGTTGAAAGTTGCTTAACTCAGCAGGTAAGAAACCAGAATTTGTGACTATTAAAGCCTTCAATTTATCCATGTTCTCCACAGATTCGGGTAAGGCATAGTTGTTTGTCTGGAAATTCAAGACTAGAACCTCAACGTCTGGTACTTGCATGTTGTGCAGTTCTTGTGGAACCAGTCTGTCTGCAAAGTAACAACATGCTAATTGATGTGAGTGTGAGGTGAAACTAATATGGAAGCATGTATATGTGTAGTTGCTAAAGAGACAGATGGGACAACCAGTTGTTGAGATAGATAATAGGCGGGCCTTCATCACTTGATGCTTCTGTTCTCTCCACCAACTGGGAAGTTTGTTGTTACCATGTATGTCGAAAATCAGCCTTGTTCTCTGTTCTACTGGTTCTTGTTTTGAGTAGTAGATAGCCAGCTCTCTAAGAATATCATGTTGGGTAACAAAGTGTTCACTGTAGTACTGATTCCCCTCCTTCTTCTCCACCTTCTCCTTCTTCTCCTCCTTCTCCGCCTTCTCCACCTTCTCCACCTTTTCCTTCCTGGTGATCATCAAAACTAAGTTACTTACAAGAGATTTCTTCAGAAAACATATTGCAATAACAAGTTATCAGCAGCAACTAGTACATGAATAGAAAATTATAGGGCGAAAATATCATACAAGAGAAAGACAGAAGCATGAACACCTTATGACTACAAGATTAGCGAGACTTCGGTCGGAGAGCTTGTAGAGGTTTGCAATGCACTCTGCATCTTCATCTAGATCATAATACTCTGTCCATATATCAATGAGGGCAGCAGCAGGGATTCTTTGGTCTTCGGGAAACAAACCCAGGTCTAAGAAACATTTCTTAATTTCTTTATCCAATGCTTCGAAGCTGCTTTGGAGACAAAGAAGCAACTCATCAGCTGAATCATGAACAGTAGAACCTCTAGACCATTCAATTAATCTCTGTGTCCAGATCTCTATAGGCTGTCCGCAAAGTGATCCCCCATGCACTTTAATGGCAAGTGGAAATCCCTTACAATGCTCTACTATCTGCAGTTCAATTTTCAAGAATCAAATCAATTACCTTTTGATTCGCATACCCAAATTCAAGTCTCTGAAAATCATCTCAATGGTTTCTTGAAGATGAGAAAATGGTTAAAAACTATCTAAGCTTCTTTATTTTAATTTTAGTTGTACATCACAAGTAAGCTTAAATGCATGATTACTCAACCTGATATGGTGAAATGGATGTGCTCACTCGTCTGTATGGATGCTTTGTGTAAAAAGCGAACATAATTTATTTTCCTCCTCTTGTAAGGCATGAATAAGCATATATATAGTGCATTGCAACTAAAAAGTACCTGTCTTGAAAGATCTTCTGGAATATGAGAGCTCTTATCTCCCAAAGATGCATAATGATGAAAAAGTTTCATTGCATTGTCATAATCCAATGACTGTAAACGATATGAAGAGCCAAATCTCCGAAATTCAGACCTCGATGTCACCAAAAGCTTGTAATTTGGCATTTTAAATTGATCAAACTTCTCCAGAAGGGATTCTGATCCAGACCAAACATCATCCAGGACCAACAGTAAAGGATTTTGTCCTTGTTCCTTCAGAAAATGGTGCAGCCACTTTACAATATATTCCAAGTTGGGGTTTTTCGAAACAGTGACAAAGAAGATATTGTCCCTGAATATATCTATCCAAAGAAAACATATATAATATAAGAATGCTGCCATTTACAAAGATGAAACCTTCACAATTGCAGCCCTAGTATATATGCGAAGAAAGAGCAAGAAATGTTTCTATAAAACCAACTCTTGATCAAAGTTCACAATTGAAAAGGAATTAAAGATACCTTTGACTTCCTGATCTTGACAAAATGTTGTTGCCAAAGTGGTCTTGCCACATCCTCCAGGAGCAGTCAGAACAAGCATTGACACCCCATCTTTAAGATTAAGAAGCTTCCTCTTCAATTCCTTCAAAGGAAAATCCAACCCAACTACAAGCAGCGGAAGTTCAGGTGCTGCACACCAAGCTTCAGTCCTAGCTTGATTTTGTAACACCAAACTTGATTCAATTCGGCTGAGCATTGGTTCAATTCGGCTGAGATCCTTCTTTATGCTCCTCACCGAAACCGAGTTCTCCTTCACATCCCTTATGCTCTGCACATGCAGCCTCTGTAGAAGTTCTTGGAGAGATTTGTCCAACTGATGAAGTTCGTTGGCATATTTTTTCTTTTCGGGAAACTGCCACCACTCACGAACCTCAAAGCACTTGCCGACGAGCTCTATGCCCTTCCTCATCACTTCTTTTAGGTCTTTCAGTTCCTGCTCTGGGTGATCCAATTCCCTGTTGTATTCTTCTATCTGGTCGATCACTGGCTTTAAAGAGTCTAAACTTGACTTGAAGTCGATGAGGATCTTTTTATATTCGAAATTCTTGATGATCAGCTTCTCAAGGCGTTCATACAGCACATTAAAAAATGTTCCTAGAACAGCCCCTCCAATAAGCTCCCCTACTCCTCCCATTCTTGATCCTTAGCAACAAAACTCAACACCAAAATCAGAAAACTTGTTTGAGTTTCATCTCAACTTTAAGACAGGAGCACAAAACAGCATCTTGGTAGATTGGGAAATAAGGAAAAGTGAGATACTCTTAAATTTGGAAGCCAAGAAACACAGTAAACAAGAGACTCGAAAGGTGGCAATACAAATTTTTCTCTTTCTTTGTTGGCAATCTTGCAAGATAAGATAAAAGAGGATTTCAAAGATGATTGACTCTATTAGGAGACTTAATTACAACTTAAACGGGAAATTGCACCAACGTTTCTAGGAAAATTCCACGGTCTGAATGGTCTGAAAAATAACCCCCCTCCATACGATACGATGTGTCAAAAGTAGTTGACAGCTGTCAGGAGTTAATTGGCCGGGAATACTGACGCAGAATGCTTACTTTGGCACCCCCCTTCCAGGAAACTTTTTCTCCCACCACACTGCAGGTATTGGCCAACCCAAAAATTGTATTTCTGTCAGATTGTTTCTCATTAATGAATGTGACAAGTTTAAAGAAAAACGATAAAGACAAACTGTGTGAAGCAACCAAACGAAAGATGCAATAATTCACAAGCAAAAACTGGTAAATACAAATTCTCAGACACTCATTTCATTTCACAAAACAGAAGACCTTTCAAATACAATTTGCAGTAGACACATTTTCATCTTGTTCTGAAAGAACATCAAGAAAACAAACAAGAAAATTCCAACCACGAGAGGAAGATTAAGAAGTTGCTCCAACATTCAGTAAGAAAAAGACAGGTCCCAAAATTGAAGCTAGTGGAGCCAATTCAGGTTGATATTTTCTTTGGCCACCATTATGCGTGTGCTTCTGAGACAGTTCAAGAAGGGCTCCCACAGACTTCCTGTCTCTTCGTCACATATCACTTCCTCAAACTGCTCGAGATCCAAAACTGATAGAGGCAGCTCTTGCAATCTTGAGCACTGTCTCATGTTGATATTTCTTAAATTGCTTATTTCACCAATGTCTTCAGGCAACTCCCTAATGCTGAAGCAATCAGATATGTCAAGAAAGTTTAACTTTTTTAGGTCCTTCATCGAGCCTGGAAGTTTTACCAAGTCTGTACAGGACCTTAGCCTCAACACTTGTAAATTGGCCAGCTTCCCAATCCGTTCAGGCAAGGCATATAGATTATGGCAGTTGGTGATGCTGAGCTTCTTTAAATGAATAAGATCACAGACCTCGGTTGGCAATTCCACCAAATCATGGCAATAGTCAATATTCATTTCCTCTAAATTTGGGAATGCATCTGAAATTTTGACTGCACAATTGCTCAAAGCTTGACCGATGTTACACATGAATAAAGAAATTTTCTTTAGACTCAGAAATTGTATGGGGTTCTTGGTTATGGAAGGAATCGAAATGCGCTCTAATCTGATTCTCTTCAGATTTGATGCTGAACCCAGTAGCTCAAAATTACTCAATTCAGCAGGTAATGAACCGTAATTTGTGACTATTAGAACCTTCAATTTGTCAATTTTCTCCACAAATTGAGGCAAGGCATAGTTCTTTGTCTGAATATTCAAAACTAGGACCTCAACCTCTGGTAGTTGAATGCTCTGCCATTTTGTTGAAAACACTCCATCTGCAAACAATATGCTACAAGATATGAGTTGTGGAGGGAAATGAAATGAAAGTTCTCCTCATATCCTAGTGTGTGTGCTTGTCATGAGTTCGGGTACATGTGCATGTGTGCATGATTTCATACATATCCTAGAATTTTCTAAAAATAAAGAGAGCGAGGGAGATGGAACAACCAGAGGAGATAGATAAGAGGCGAGCCTTGATGGGTTGAGACTTCTGTTCTGTCAACCACTTGGGTTCATTGTCTTCACTTATGTCTACAATTAGTTTTTTTCTCTGTTCTATTGGGTCTTGTTTCGCATTATAGACAGCCAGCTGTCTAAGCATATCATGCTGGGTAACGAAGTGTTCAATGTAGTAGTCATCCACCATCTCCATATTCTCCTTCCTGGTAATAAAAGATTAGTCGCTTAAAAGATATTTCTTCAGCATACAGATTGCAATTATATATTAAGGTTAGCAATCGTTCGTGAATATGGAAATTTGAATGAGAATACTATTCATATGAGATATAGAACCCTGCATACCTGGTGATCACAAGATTTGCCAGACTTCTAGTGGTGAGCTCGAGGAGGTTTGTAATGGACAGAAAGTCTTCATCTAGCTCATATAACTCTGCCCACATATCAATGACAGCAGCAGCAGGGATTCTTTGGTCTTCAGGAAATGAACCAAGGTCCATGAAACATTCTTTGATGATAGCATCTTCTTCATCCAAGGCATCTATGCTACTTTGAAGGCGAAGAAGCAACTCAGTCTCAATATCAAGAATAGAACTTTTAGACCAGTCTCTCAGTCTTTTACGCCAGAACTCTGTAGCTCGTCCTCGAAGTGAGTTTCCGGTCACTGTAATGGCCAGTGGAAATCCATTACAGCGCTCTACTATCTGCAGTTCAATTGTTCCAATGAAGTGAATTACTATCTGACTTGCAGACCGAATGTTCAAGTTTCTTAAAACAACTCATTGGTTTCATGAAGATGAGAAAATGGTTAAATGACTATCTAGTTTCTACTTTTCTTCATTCTTATTTTAGTTTTAGTTCACAAGCAAAATAGGCATAACTGATCATTTGCAGGTTGATATGGTAAAATGGATATTCATTTGTGTGTATGGGTACTTCGCATAAAAGACGAAAAATTATTTCCCCACTCTGTTCCCCCTTTAATATTTGAGGCATAAATAAGCATATATGATGTAGATTGCAGGGTAAGAAATCACCTTTCTCAGAAGATCTTCTGGAATACTAGAGCTCCTGTTTCCCAGAGATGCTGAATGATGAAAAAGAGTCATTGAATCTTTATCATTCAATGATTCTAGAAAATACGGAGTACCAAATCCTGGAAACTCGGATCTTGAGGTCACCAAAATCTTGGCATTTGGCCTTTTCAATTCATCGACTTTCTGAAGAAGAGATTTGGATCCTAACCAAACATCATCCAGGACCAACAGCAGAGGATTTTGTCCTGCATCCTCTGAATTCAGGCGTTGATAGACTTCTTCTACAAAGTCTAAGTTGGGCTTTTTTGAAATGGTAACAAAGAAGATATTGTTGTTGAATTTATCTATCAAAATACAATATAAGAAATATGTCATATAAATCTGTGTACCATTGTGCAAACAAAGAAACATACAAGTATTAATAGTTACTCTTTACCAATAGAGGGAACAAATAAAACAGAAAATGCAATCATACCTTTGACTTCCTTATCATGACAGAACTTTGTTGCCAATGTGGTTTTCCCGGATCCTCCATGAGCAGTCAGCACAAGCATTGACAAATCGTCCTTAAGAAGCTTCTTCTTCAAATCCCTCAAAGGCTCGTCCAATCCGACTGTAACAGGTGGAAGTTCAGGTACTGCACACCAAGCTTTAATGTCCAATTGTTTTGGCAACACAACCTCTTCTTTTATTTGCAATTTATCAATTTTCTCTTCAATGTTCATTACCCTATACAAGGTCTCCTTCCCATCCCTTACTCCCCCAACGTTCAGTATGGTTAACAGTCTATTCAGACATTGGTCCAAATCAAGAAGCTTTTTGGCATATTTATACTTTTTGTAGGTATTCCACCGGCCAACGGTGGAGCACTTGGGAACAAGCACAGCACCATTCTTCATTTTTTCTTTGAAATTTTCTAGTTCCTCCTTTGGACGATCCATCAAATAGTTGTACTTTTCTATGTCTTCGATCAGCGGTTTCAAAGAATCTAGCGTGGATTTGAGATCTCCGAGGAGGGATTTAAACATCATGGTCTTGTCCTTCACTTCCTTAACAACTTCATACAGCACAGTGAACAATGTTCCTACGGCACCCCCAGCAAAAAGATCCATTCTTGACTCTTTACAACAAAACCCACCACGCCACCAAAACCCAAAAACTAACTTGAAATCGTATAATTTCAATCTGAAGTTGAAGGCAAGATAACAGAGTGGTATGAAAAACTCAATGTTCTCTTGATTTGTAATTGGTGATAAACTCAATGTTCTCAAGATAAGGGAGAATTGATTCTTCCGACAAGTGGAAGCTCAGAATTTCCGAGTTAGCCCCCTCCCCTCACCCCACCCCACCCGTTGACTGACCAAGCACATGATGCTTAGCTTTGAAGAAAACTTCCGCGGCATCCTACCGTACTGCTTCTAAAAAATATTGATATCCCATTGAAAGCTGGGGACAAAAGTTTTAACAACTACAGCGCATTGATTAGTCAAAGATTAAACAAAATATCCGAACTAATCAGCATGGTATAATATAATTTATGTCTTAATATTAATATAGTAACATGCACGTTGAATCCCTTGACCTGATGAGATGACACCTAGAAATTGGATGGAACCACCCCCATCACCATCCTGCATCTATTTTTTTAAACTCCATTGACCAAAACCAGTAGCTATGAACTAATGCGCGGTTTCTTCTCTCTTTCGGCAAAGAACCTTCCTGCCTTAAACCCAGTCTCCATTCCTTGTCCTTCAGACAGACGACTCACTTCCAAGTCTTCAAGCAAAACACACGGAGGAGGAAGAATGAAGAAACACATGCTTTGTTTTTGTTTTTTGAAGACAGTGATGTTACCTCAACCCAATATATTCATGTTCGGTTTCTTTCTCTTCTTACCTACCTACTGCAACCAAAAGAAGACTTTAGCCCATTTCATCAACTCTGCCCCAAAAATTTCTGAGACCCAATTAGCGAAAGTTGGACCATTCTATTAACTTTGGCCCATAAAAGTTTTTCCCTTGGCGCGAAAAAATTGAAGTCGTCTTAAATCTTCAAAGAATCAAACTTTGCTTTCCACCACGGCCACCATGAAATCCTTGACTCTCAAAATTTCCAGGTCCTTTTCTCTGATTTGCTTTAACAGAACCCATTCATCATCTTCCCGAACCCAACTAAACAAACCTCTAATTGAGAAAACTTTCTTCAAGTCCAACACCAAAGACGGCCTCATAAGCCGCTTGTGCAAGGACGGAAAATTCAAAGAAGCCATAGACATTCTTTGCGAGCAAAAGCGCTTGGCAGAAGCGGTTCAGTTGCTCAACCGAATAGATAGGCCCTCTGCTTCTATATACTCGACCCTGTTGCAGCTTTGTCTTCAACAACGAGCTCTTGTGCAGGGCAAATTGGTCCATGCCCACACAAAAGTGTCTGGGTTCGTGCCCGGGCTGTTCATTTGTAATCGTTTAATTGACTTGTATGCAAAATGTGGGAGTCTTCTGGATGCCCAGAAGGTTTTTGATGAAATGTCTGAGAGAGATTTGTGTTCTTGGAATACTATGATTTCTGGGTATGCCAAAGTAGGGCAGGTTGGTGAAGCTAGGAAACTGTTTGATGAAATGCCTGAGAAAGATAATTTTTCTTGGACCGCAATGATATCAGGGTATGTTCACCATGAAAGGCCTAAAGAGGCTTTGCAGTTGTATAGGACGATGCAAAGGCACGATAATTCAAAGTCTAATAAGTTCACAGTGTCTAGTGCTCTAGCTGCTTCAGCAGCCATCCAGAGTTTAAGATTGGGGAAGGAGATTCATGGTTATATAATGCGAACTGGGTTGGACTCGGATGAGGTGGTTTGGAGTGCCTTGTCAGATATGTATGGAAAATGTGGGAGTATAGACGAAGCTAAGCGCATTTTTGATAAGATGGTGAATCGAGATGTTGTTTCGTGGACAGCCATGATTGATAGATATTTTGAGGATGGGAAGAGGGAAGAGGGATTTGCTTTGTTCTCGGACTTGATGAAGTCGGGCATTAGGCCGAATGAGTTCACCTTTGCAGGGGTTTTGAATGCCTGCGCTCATCATGCCGCTGAGAACCTGGGCAAGCAGGTTCATGGGTACATGACACGGATAGGATTTGACCCCTTGTCGTTTGCATCAAGTGCCCTTGTTCATATGTATTCGAAGTGTGGAAATACAGTGAATGCAAATAAGGTGTTTAAAGGGATGCCCCATCCAGATGTGGTTTCATGGACTTCCCTGATCGTCGGATATGCTCAGAATGGTCAACCTTATGAGGCTCTTCAGTTGTTTGAATTGTTACTTAAATCAGGTACTAAGCCTGATCACATTACTTTTGTAGGTGTTCTTTCCGCTTGTACTCATGCTGGCTTAGTTGAAAAGGGACTTGAATATTTCCATTCAATTAAGGCAAAACATGGTTTACCACATACTGCGGATCACTATGCCTGTGTAGTTGATTTATTGGCTCGAGCTGGCCGATTTGAAGAGGCTGAGAATTTTATCAATGAAATGCCAATGAAGCCGGATAAGTTCTTGTGGGCTTCCTTAATTGGTGGTTGTCGAATTCATGGAAACCTCAAGCTGGCAAAGCGAGCTGCAGAAGCATTGTTTGAGATAGAACCTGAGAATCCTGCTACTTATATTACTCTAGCCAACATTTATGCTACTGGTGGCATGTGGGATGAAGTAACAAAGGTCAGAAAAACAATGGATGAAAGAGGGTTAATAAAGAAACCAGGTTTGAGTTGGATTGAGATCAAGAGGGAGGTGCATGTTTTCTTAGTAGGAGACAAGTCCCACCTGAGATATGATGAAATACATTTCTTTTTGCATGAGCTTTCAAAGAGGATGAAGGAAGAAGGGTATGTCCCTGACACAAATTTTGTGCTGCATGATGTTGAGGAGGAGCAGAAAGAGCAGAACCTCTCCTACCACAGTGAGAAGCTTGCAGTTGCGTTTGGCATCATTTCTACTCCACCAGGAACACCAATCAAGGTTTTTAAGAATTTAAGAACATGTGTAGATTGTCATACTGCGATTAAATTTATTTCTAAGATTGCTAACAGAAAAATAATAGTGCGGGATTCAAATCGGTTCCATTGTTTTGAGGATGGGAACTGCTCATGTCGTGACTATTGGTGATTTGAATCACCATTGTTTTGAGTCTTACCACAGAATGCGATCTGGAATTTTCCTCGGGTGCTCATTGGGTCCTAATCGACATTTTTGTATTGGATATCTTTTCTTTTCTTTTGGGATTCCTTACATTATTGGGCTTTCTTTTCTTAGCCTGGGCCAGGCCCAATTTTTTTCAAATGAAAGAACTAGATCACATATGGTTGGATTGATTGAGCTTAGGAGGAAGAAATTGACATCCGAGTTTATCCGTGTGCTATGAGGTCTTGGAAATAGCTAGGAACTGCTTGAGACCACAATGGTAAATCGCCGTATTAACATCAATTAGGCTTCATTGTTTGATCGTATGAGAAGAATGGAACCAACACCCATTCAGACTTGCGAACTGTTTGCAGCTACATCTTTCAACATCAAGCGTCCTCATATGGCCAATCAAACATCACCAATGAAATTCAAAGCATATCTTTACAGTTTATGAGACTCGGTACATTATACTACCCTTTATTTAAAGTTATTTGTGGCCACTCACATGGTTATTTATTGAAACTACAATACTACCAATCTTGTAATGCAAAAGTACTTAGCCCTCTTGCCTGGTCTAATACTTTGAGGAAAGAACTAATTACGTATGAAAAAATACAGTTTTCTTAAGGACTCTAGAACAATTTGTATTCACGGAACAAATGAAAAATTGTTGGAATTTTAGGAGGTGTGTGATGAGTGTTTGTGATGCTCTGATACCATTGTTGGTTTATGTGATGTGATAAAAGGGTTTAGGACGATAGGACTATAGTTGAAATAAAGTGATTTTATTACATTGGAGGAAAATAGTACATAGCTTAGTGTACATAAGGTTAGGCTAATTGGTCTTCTTCATAGCTTATTGGCTTATTGGCCACCACACTTGACTTAGATTAGTTTGGGCTATTTGGCCCTAGCTTGAGCTCTTGTCTTCATCTTCTTCCATAGGCTGGGTGGCTCACACGTAGTTCCCTTCTGGATCGGGAGTTGTGGTCACTCCCACCACCTTTAGTTGATTGGTTAGTTTAGGTTGCTAGCTTACTAGCTTAGATTTGGGCAGCTTGTTTGCTCCCACATAGATTGGGAGTTCTATTAGTTTAGTCCCTCACATGCATGACTTAGTTTGGGTCGGGTAGCTTGTAGCTCCCACATAGGTTGGGAGTTTATTGGTTCACTCCATATTTCATTGTAGGTTGCATTATTTTATATACATGATTGTTTGCGACTTAGCGTTGGTCCACCGACTTGGGCACTTTCTCCCTACAACATGTTTGTAGTCATGCTCTTCATTCACTTGTCACTTTTTCTAGAATATTCTACCATATTCATTTTGCTTGCCGCCATGCAACTTCTTTATGGTGAGCTCTTGACTTTTCTAGAACTTTGTAGAACAAATAGGCATTAGTTTTTCAACAAAAACAAAAAACAACACAGAAGGAAAATGCTCATTACTTGACTTTACATAGTAGTTCTCAAAAAGTACATACCATGCTTTCTTAGAGCACTTCCATCCCTATGGGCAAAGGCTAGGCAATGGTTGTCACTATTCACATAAATAATGGCAGTCTTTACAATTTTGTTTCCACCCCTATGGGTAAAGATAAACGCAATTATTATTCACTTTAATTTGTTTTCTAATTTTTTATACTTAAACGATTAATTTTGATAAGATTTTCGGTTGCCACGTGTCACTATTTATTATAAAATTCTCATCTCAAATTTTAAATAAAATTTTCGGATAAGATTTCTGAATTAAATTTTATGATAAGATTTTTGGTTGTCACGTCTCCATATTTATTATAAAATTCACATCTCACTCATCATACAATTGAACCTACTCACTTATTATACAATTGAAATACTCTCGATCCTCATAGTCCGACACAATCGAGTACAAGAACAACTCAATCATTGGCAGAGGCGGTTCCACCGGATCACTACGTGGGGGAATATTTTCCTTCGGATGATGTAATAGTGTCATTATTTCCGACACAAAACGCACCACAGGAACCAACTATTGGCATTGTTCACTTGAGGAGCCATGTGTAATGGTTTTCCTTTTTTTTTGTTTTGCCTTGAATAAACTATTTAAAAAATTGGAAATTGGAAATCCAAGAAAATATCAACAACAAAAAATGACATTAAATTAAAAACGGAAACATTTTTTTTTTTTTTTTTTTTTTTTTTTTTTTTTCTTTGTCGCCAAGATTTTGACCGCTTCGAACATTTGTCCACGACCCTCCAGCTGCTATTTGTATTTTTACACAAATGAAATTTAGTAGTATAAATTTTGGTGTGGAAAGTGAAAATATTGGAAGGAGAAGAATTTGTATGAAGATTTGGTGCGGAAAGTGAATAATATTGGTAGGTATTTATAGAAAAAATTTCCATAATTTTTTTATTTTTTTTACAAATTTGTTCGAATTTTTTTTTTCAATTTTTTTTAGCCAAAAAATGGGCAGCCGTTGGATTGACCAGATTTTCATATCAAAGCCTCCAAGAGAAGCCACATGTCTTGTAGCCTTTGGTTTCTGACAACGCTGGTAAAAAAAATTTAAATATCTTGCGCTAACGCCAGCTGTCCGAAGGCGGATGAGCCAGATCTCCCCATGGGCTTGCCTGGACTCATGGGTCCCATGCCTTGCCCAAGCTGGAGCTTCCTTGGGCCCCTCCTTGCCTGGGCTAAACCCTTGCGGTGGAAGTGCTCTTACACTCTATCATTAATTCTTTCACTTCACCCACCCTCTTGCTACACCTAACGCACTCTTTACTTGCTTTACCCACCCACATGCATACCTTCATATCTTAGGAGGAAATTAGGAAGCTAGAAACGATAAAGATGAACAAGGGAGAGGAAGAGAAGAAGACAATGATGAAGAAGCTCATTCCCAACAAACAGATTGTCCTGAATCACTATGTAACTGGGTACCCAAAAGAGAGTGACTTTGGATTGCGATCCTCTACAACCAGTTGCACCCTTTCCCATGGTTCCACATCATCTGCTGTTCTTCTAAAGAACCTATACCTCTCCTGTGATCCTTACATGCGCCACCGCATGTCCGATCATATCTCCCATTCCGGGACTATTGTCCAGTCCTTCACCTCTGGCTCTGTCGTTGTGGGATATGGCGTGTCCAAAGTCATAGAGTCCACACATCCAAGCTTCAAAGAAGGCGACTTTGTTTAGGGCATGATTGGATGGGAAGAGTACACTTTGATCACTACCCCTGATAGCCTAAACAAGATCAATTTTACCGACGTACCCCTCTCATACTATGCAGGCATTCTGGGCATGCCAGGAATTGCTGCTTATGCTGGATTTCACAAAATATGCTATCCCAAAGAAGGGGATTGTGTGTATGTTTCTTCTGCATCAGGAGGAGTTGGTCAACTTGTTGGTCAATTTGCCAAACTTATGGGTTGCTATGTTGTTGGAAGTGCCAGCACTAAAGAGAAGGTTGATCTCTTAAAGCACAAGATGGGATTTGATGAAGCATTTAACTACAAAGAGGAGCATGATTTGGGTTCGGCATTAAGAAGGTACTTCCCGCAAGGCATTGACATTTACTTTGACAATGTGGGCGGTCACATGCTTGATGAAGTTATCTTGCACATGAAAGTTCATGGCCGGATTGCACTCTGTGGCATGATTTCTCAATACAATATTGAGAAACCAGAGGGTGTACGCAATATGTTTAGCCTGATCATGAACCGGATCGAGATGAAAGGGTTTGTTGAAAACGATTTCGGGCATGTGTATCCAGAGTTAGTCGAGTTATGTATCAAAGAACCACATGTGACCAAATTCAGAATCATCAGAACTCACTTTGGTGCTGACTGGACAGTCTGCACAAGCACTCTTCAATCCAGAAACCTTACTTAGAACTTTACTTCCCCATTGATGAACGTTCAGTTGATCCCATCTCCTACACAGGGCCTTCATCTCAGCCAAAATCCTTTTAACATCCAGTTAAGTTCTCGTGACATATATATGTGTCAAAATCATAGATTCAAGTTTTCATTTGATTTTCTAACGAGTAAGATAGAAGAAAATAAGGTATTGGATACCTATATTCTAACCAGTAAATGTATCTAAACCCGGAATACCAAATGTTGATAGACTTAAAATTCAGTAGACACAGAAAATCTAGAGAGTTACAGTCAAATAGTCATGTGGTGTTATAAAGTTGAAATATGGATGGACAGCATGGTTCATAGTTCATAGGAAAATGATATATTATTAATAAATAAATACACGTGTTACAATATGAATGAATTGATAACACTACGTAACAGTGTGACTGTCATCCTGAAAAGTTACTCAGTTTAGATTAGTTATTCAGTTAAGATGGATCTAGTACATAACATTCAAATTGTCTTTTTTAATAGGGTTGTTCCAATAGTTAAAGTACAGCATGTTGGCTATTAAAAAAAGAAAAAAGAAAGGGAATTTCGAAGGTCCCCTTGACTTTTGGTTCCCTCCAATTGCATTGAAGGGATTTGATTTGCATCAGTTAACACCAACATCAAGCATCCAGAACACTAACTTTACACAATATTCAATCCATAGTTTTTGGGACAGAAGCTACTATATAGATTTATTCTGTGATAGCCCCACATGTAACCAAATTCATAAGGATTCGCTTTGGAGCTGCTGACTGCACAGTCTGCACAAGCCTCTTCAATCCAGAAAACTTACCCAAAACCTTACTTCCACTTATGTTAAAAATCCATCCCCTGCCATCCCCATGCACATCCATTTGATTCTTTTGATCCCATCTCCTACACAATTCCTTCATCTCAGTCGAAATCCTTATAACATCCAGTGCCACCTTAACTTGCAAATCAATAGTAATCAGCCTCCGAAGAGAGTCATCCAACTCTTGGAGCTTCTTGTAGTACATTTGGCTCTTCCATAAGTTGCAGCAACCCGCATTCGAGCACTTATCGACTAGTTCCCTGCCTTGAATCAGCTGTAGACGTATTCGGTAAATGACATCGTCTGGGAAATCTTCTTCAGAAAGACGATCGATTTCACTGATTTTTGGAGTGATGGTTTGAATTGTGAATTCTAGTTGTGCAAGAATAGACTCATACATGTGTGCTCTCTCCCTTGCTTGTGAAACAGCTCCTAGTAGCGCCTCTAATGCGCGTCCTATAGTAGCCTCTATAAGGATTTTTTCCATAGTTAGTACCTTTTTTTAAAAAGAAGAACCAGCATTAATGAGTATGAGAAATGAGGGAGCAATGCTTGTGTCATTTATAGGAGTGTTTTTGGTAGGCTATATATATTACTTACACATATAACTATTGGAAAGACAAGATCAAGCTGGCATGGACCTGGTCTAATACCACACGGAAAAGACAAGATCAAAGCCAGGACTTCACCTAGAAGAAATTTGACTACATGCTACGTATACAACTAAATTGCTGACATGGTCAAGACTCCAAAAGAGAAAAGGAAAATTGTAAAATGCATGAAACTTTCCAAGCAACGCATGCAAATTAAGTAGCTAGCTACTGAACCTTCTCCTTCACTTCCCTCAACTTGAGTGTAGTGCAAGAAATCGAATATGGGTAACGGGGAATTGGGAAATTACAATTTATACAGAGGAAACAGGAAGCAATATTTGTTTGATTTATTTTTTGTGAAACTACACGGGTATACTGTCACAAGATCAAGGCATGGGCTTGATCAATGAGTGGTCCACAATTTACAACTAAACTCAGGGCGGCCCTGGGAAAGATAACATCATTAAGGTATCGACTTAATGATCTAATACTTCTGAAGCAATTTCTTCTTCGTTTACATGTAAAACAGTGGAAACAAAGAAGAAACCAAAAAAAAACAAACAATAGACACACCGCGTGGATGGAAGGAAAAACAAAGAAACAAAAAGAAGCAAAAGACCATTCACCGACTAAAGCTACTCCAGCAGGTCAACAGTGCTCAAGAAAATATTGTACAAGACCAGTTTCCTAGCAACGCATGCTATGTAACTACTGAACGTCCTTAGTCCAAATTAGTCGATTAACCTTTGGTTCAGACGTATTAACCATTAGCTAATTATTCACTTAAAAGAGCATAAAATTAGTCATAAAAAATACTTGCAATCCACAGTTCCGCAGAGAAATATTGAATTAAATATATTTGTGCAATCCACGTTTAAGGTTATACATCATTATGTGAAGGGAAATGCGAGTAATTATTAACATGGATAACGTAACAGTAACATGTGAACGACTTAGAACACATGCGACCAACACAACAACACTAAGTTTAACGCTAACTCCGATAACATATTACGCTAATTAGAGCATTTAACCCAAATTAAATCAATTGACAATGAATGGATCGACTCAAGTTGTTACTTGAACACAATGATTAAGTATCCTAACATGGGATTCTATACACTTAAAACCGACTACCAATCCTTGGACAATGCCTTAATATGCCTCTTGGATTGTGCCTTCACCCACTCCCAACTCGACTTTATGTTCAGACATATATGGAGAATCAGATTAATTGTTAAAAGTGCCAGGCCGAAAAAAACACATGCCCACAACAACGCCCCAAGCAAGTTTAGCAAACATAAAAGTCCCTCCTGGCAGAATTTGTAGAGGAACCACAAACCACCGGCAACCACAGATACAAACCATTTTCGCTCTGCATTACGCACTGGATTGGTTATCGCTTTGTCCATCTTCATAGCGGCAAGGGGTAACTTCTCTGTGATTTTCAAACCTAGCAACTTTGGAGACTTCCTGTAAACAAGAAACTTCTCTCTACTCAGTTCAATTACCTTGCACAATAAATTAATTTTAAAACAAAAACACAAAAACAATCCTTACTTTGAACGAAGCCTAATGAGCCCGTTGCTCCAAAGCAACAATAAAGCACCAAGAGCCATGACCAGCAACAAAACAAAGATCATCCTTGTGCAAAGCAAGGTCTCCATCCCATTCCTTGCTGTCTGAGCCCCCAGTTTTTCATAGAGTCCTTTGAGAGACGCATCTAATTCAGAAAGTTTGTGTTGATGAGGAACGCTCCATATGTACTTGCCCCTCTTCGACTTGTAGATGTGGCGAACGCACGTTATACCCTCGTGAACTTGTCTTTCCAGACTCTCTATTTCTTCCTTCGGGCGACCCAAGTACCTGTTTAGCTTCTCCATCTCTTGTATCAATGGCTGTAAAGACCCTAGGGTAGTATCCAGCTTTCTGAGCAAGGCTGGACAATCTGTATGTTTCTTGATCGCCTTTTTAACGAAACCGACCAGCTCCGAAACTGCAGCACCTAGAAAAACCTCTCCTACTCCTTCCATTTTCGATCCTCCAAATAGGTAGTAATTATTTCAGTCTAACTCGAACACTTAAATATAAGGTCGAACCATTGCCGCTATTTTTCTGGTCCAAATTGGAAACTTCTGCTTGCGACTTTTGAAACGAAGAGGCAATTTCTCTCCACTTGGACAGCCTCCCACCCAGTTCGACAAGAAATTATAAAGTAGAATTAGAATATGGTCACGTGGTATAACTTGTACTTAGAATATAGGTGGACAATAGAGTTGATATTTACTCTTTTAGAGAATGGTATCAATAAATATCTACTTATATTATAAAACGTGGACAAATTATACCACATGACTGTACTGTCATGCTATACACTATGGCCTTGTGTCTTAATTTAAAATAATCATTTTGCTTTTTAAATTCTAGGGCGAATGGATTAACATTAAAAATATATTTTGATCTTTCAACTTTCATGGAAATCATTTCGAGACACGTGTTTGGTAAATTATTAGTAAAACCTAAACTTAATTATATATACATGTTAAAAATGATTAGAATTTCTTCGATCAAGCGTGATCGTTACTAGAAACACATCAGATTGTTTTAAATTTTATATTAAATTGCTCCATTATTATAATGACCCTTTATGACTAATAGCTTTTTTGGCTCATGGGACATCCAAACCCTAATATTGTTGCCTCGTTTAATATTAATTTTTGTAGTTTGTCAACTTTTTCAATCTTAATTAAGCCCAAAGTGCCATTCCATCCGCTAATTTAAAGACAAATCTGAAATGGCTCTGACTTGGCAACATGTGATCAATTCGTGTCATAGCCACTACAGATTTTTTTTTTCCTTGGAGATTACAGACGGGAGTTAACAACTTCGGCTAATAGCTAGTAAAAAAGGTAACAAGTATCATTACTATAATTTTTAAACATAAAGTCTAGCCATGAAAGTGAAAAACCCTCAAACTTACGGATCAAAGCGTAATTTTGCCTAAATGTAAGTATTTTTTTTTTTTTTTTTTTTTTTTTTTACAAATGATAATCTATATATATAAAGCAAAAGGTAGAGTATAGTAAAACATTCAAAATACCAGAAAATGTCATTAGTTAATGCAAACATTAAGAATTGAAATTATTAATTAAATGAAGATAATATGATAAATTCACACTTTTTCATTATTTAAAAATTAAAATTAAAAGAAAAATCATATAATTGATCCTATTTTTATGAAACACAACTACCCATTATCTTTTTTAATTCTAAAATAAATGTAAATATTTTTTTAAAAAGCCTTTTCCAAATGCGAAAGCGCGTGCGGAGAGGCCTACTTTAAATTCAAGTTTGAGAAATTTGTTGTTTTGCTGAAACCAAACTTGCTGTCGTCTTCATATCTTTACGTACTTTGTTCTGGAAAAGTGTTGCGATACAGTCGGTGACTTTATTTTGGTTATGACATTTTCTAAATTTCGCTAAATAATACTTGCAAGACTACCTGCACAATGTGCAAAATATAGCTTATGTTTCGGGGAAATATATGTTTTTGTGTAAAGGGAAATAATAGCTCTGAAATATTTTTTAGTAAAAAAATACCAAAAAATAAAAGTCTGTCAAAAATTTTACGTGAACACCAAATTGCCAATATTGAATTTTCGAAAGGAATTTCCGATAGGTAGTTGCCTTGCATACACAGAAAGAGAAACTCCATACCAAATATCTGAAGAAGCTTCCTGGCGATGGCTTGAGATTCCTCTCCTTTCCACAAGAATGTTGCGGAAAGTTTACGTGAATATAATTTGACACTTGACAAATCAATGCGGTTTTCACACTTGACAAATTCCTATAATATTTTTGTTTCTTCTTTTTTTGTTGGAACTTTATTAATTTGGCTGGAATTTGACCGGTGTCTTCATATGGCCAATCAAACATCAACAATGAAATTCAAAAGTATATATTTCTTTATTTTGCATGGCAAGTCACGTGATATTTGTATCAACTAGTATATCTTACCTTATCAAATAAATCTTATTGCATGGCTTTCACTACATTAATTCATTTCAAACTCTATTTTATATTTAATATATATGTGTTGAGCCAAAACTTCCAGTAAAAGATATTCACACATTAATTCCCCACCTATACTAGAGTCTAGGAAATGACAATACAATTTTCATACTAACAGACAAGATCAAAACCAGGACTTGACCTAGGAAAAATTTGACTACATGTATACAACTAAATTGCTGACAAGGTCAAGACTTCAAAAGAGAAAAGGAAAATGGTTAATGCATGAAACTTTCCAAGCAACTGAACCTCCTCCTTCTCCTTCACTTCCCAACGTGTAGTGCAAGAAATCGAAATAATGGGTAAGGGGGAAATTTGGAAATTACAATTTACACAGAGGTTATGAATGAGAGAAGGTAAACAAGTGTGAGGAGTGAGGCATATGGGAAACAGGAAGCATTATTTGTTTGATTTATTTTTCGTGAAATATAACTGCACGGGTATACCATATATAGAATACACAAGATCAAGGCATGGGCTTGATCAATGAGTGAAAAACAATTTACAACTAAGCTTGCTCACAAGGTCAAGATACCTACTCGAGAAATTTCACATGCAATTAATTTCCAAGCAAGGCATGCAAATTATAGGCAGCTACTCGACCTTCTTCTCCTGCTCTTCCCTGACTGTCACCTTGTTCTGTAACTTCTTCACTACCTTCTCATCAACCGTGTCGTAATACCTTTTCAATTGTGCCTTTAACTTCTCCTCGCCCCTCTTTATCTTGTCCTGGTACTTGACATACATTGCTGGAACTGTCATGCCCGTGACAATACCTACATGCAAAACCACCCAAATTATACAAACTAGTATTGCTAGGGTTGTCAAATTTTCGCATTTTCTGTGTACCGTTTATTCAAAATCCAAAGTCTATCATGATTTCATTATTTGTTACAAATAAAGCACGTACTAACAGGTTTGTTAACATACAAAGGAACAAATTTTGTGACACTAATAGATATTATTGCTTCTTTTAACTTATCTTATCAAACTGTGAATTCGGACTACACATAAAATTAGTTAGGTAAGTGAGTTTCCTTTTTATTAGTCATTACAATAGAAGGAAAAGAAGATCAACGGATCTTACTACACAGGAGAGTAGCCACTAACCAGAGATAGTTCCAACAAATACAAACCACTCTCTTTCGATCTTTGTCTTTCAGATTGATGGTGACCAAGAAGAGAGAAGCATGAGAATTTGAAAATGTAATCAGATTCTTGAATTTTTCTTACTATTTTTTCCTATCCAGCAAACTATTTTTCCCACCCTAAACCCTATCTTCCAGTCTCTATTGAGTTTTGCTGTCGCTTTTCCTTTCTCACATTGTTGTTGGGGCTTGGCCTCTATCTTTTGTTAGGTGGTTTGTTGATTCTCTTTATTGGTTTAATGAGCACCTTTCGGCCCTAAAAAAGCTACTTGAGAACTATTGCCAAAGAGTAGGTTGTTTTGTTGAATGTTAGAAGCTATATGACTATGTATGGACCTAAATATATTATTTTTGTTTTTTATGATTCATGTACTTTTACTTTGTTAGAATAAAATTATTATGTTTAAACCAAAAAGAATAAATTAACCACACAAAAAAATTCCTTTCGTATTAAGCTTTATATTGTAAAACAGTAAGCAAAGAAACAAAGAAGAAACCAAATTAGTTGTGTAACCACTGAACGTCCTTAGTCCAAATTAGTTGATTAACCACTGGCTAATTATTCACTTAAAAGAGGCAATCCACAGAATTCCATAGAGAAATATTGAATTAAATATATTTATGCAATCCACGTTTTAGGTTATACATCATTGTGTGAAGGGAAATGCGAGTAATTATTAACATGGATAACCTAACAGTAACATGTGAACGACTTCGAACACATGCGACCAACACAACAACATACACTTAAGTTTAACGCTAACTCAGATTACATGAAAATTACGTTAATTAGAGCATTTATCCCAAATTAAATCAATTGAAATGTTTGTTAATATACAATGGAACAAATTTTGTGACACTAATCGGACCAGACATGAAATTAGTTAGGTAAGTCAAGGAGTTTCCTTTTTATTAGTCATTACCTATGTATAGAAGGGTAAGAAGATCGACGGATGTCGCTACACGGGAAACTAGCAACAAACCAGAGACAGTTCCAACAAATACAAACCATTCTCTCTCTGCAGCAACCCAAAACATCCATCGAATTCCCTCTTCAACCCATGCTCGAATGGTATTGCCCATCTCCGAAGCTGACTTCTCCGAAATTCTCACTCTTGACAAGTCTGGAGGCGCTCTGAAAATAAAGCAATTAAAATGCAAAAATCGTTACACAACACAAGTATTATAAAAAGAACAAGAACAGGGGATCTTAGAAAGCAGGGGAGCTTAGCTCACTTACTTGCCAAGAAGCCTGAGCAAGTTGCCTGAAAGGAACAACGAAGCAACAATAAACATGGCCAGGTATGAAATCAGAGTGAGGAAGTTGAATTGGTAGACTTGGAGTAAAACCCATGTTGCTGTTGCTGTCAAAAGAGTCAGCAAACTCTGCCTCTTCTTCCTCCACAGGATTATATCACTCAAAGTATCAGACATGTTGGTGATAGATGTTGATGATTGGAGCAAAGCTCAAGCTGAAGATGAAGATGAAGATGAGGAGCAGGACACGCTAATTTTGAAAGATTGATTTTGAAGCGGTTAGTTGAGATATGCTTAAAGGGTGATTGGTTTTTGGGCTTACACGTATGGATCCCAGTATTGGAAACGTGGAAACCATGCAAGCCTTCTCCATTTGTGGTCACTTCTTGCGTGGAGCCTTGGACTGTTGGAGCATACAACAGCGCATACGGTTCCAGGAGAGGAAAAGGCTTACCTCTTGTTTGATTGTTAACCCAAGGAGGATTTCATCAAGCCCAACCCATTGCATTCATATTCCTAATGGACTTTTTTATAGCCCCCCAATTGGAAGCTATTTGGAAAGTGCTTCTTCAAAAATACATATTTTTACAACTCATAAGCACTTTTAACAATTTCTAACAACGCTATGCGACGAGCTCAAGAGTCAAGAATACTTCAGAAATTATTGTATATACACTCACTTCCCAAGCAAGCACTTGCAAATAAAGGAGTTATTGAAATTAAACTTTTAGGGCTTGTTTGGTACATCGTATTAGACTCTTTAGATATGAGTAAATAGTCTATGACAATTGTTTGGTGTCAACTTGTAAAAAGAACACACGCGTTCACGTGAAAAATTCTATTATGCTTCTTCTCACTTATCATGTCTTCATTTTCTCTTTCTTTATATATTTCCTCTTTTATTAAATTTTGTGGAAATTATGTTACAATTTTTATTTTTGTGGAAATTAGGTTAGGAATGTAATTGCATCGTGGAATTATTTATTTGTCTATGTTTTGCATTGAATTGAAACTCAATATTTCAGAGAGCAACCAAAAAGCTTGGGTTTGGTTGCTGGGGAGTGGATGAGTTTGGTTTATAATTCAGTTTTCCAAAGTTCTAGCTTCAGTTTGGTGGATGAGTAGATTGTTCGATTTAATTTGGTGAATTTTGGAAATTAAATTTTAGTTAACTAAATTAACTAAAACTTATTTAGGCAAATTCATGATGATGGATGGATATATGGGATTAATGGCAAGAAGCAACAGGTAAATTAAAAACCCTTTTAACTTACCACTAAATTACTCCATTTCCCTATGAATTTAAATTTTCATTAAATTATCAAAGAATTTTTTTTTAAAATAGTCATCTGATGTTATCCGGAACCGCACCAAACACAGTATAACTTAGTCAAACTATTTATCCAAAACAACACCAAACGCCTTATAATATTATAGATAAACAATCAGTACTCTCCGAAACATATTAATACTATCCGACAAAAATTAATCAGTACAGTCTGATGTACCAAACAAGCCCGGCAGTTTTGATCATCGTTATTCAATAGCTAGTTTTATTGTGTAATAGCTTCCTAATATACACTTAAAAGAGGATCATGCATACATGGATAAAAATACCAATTAATCATATAAAAGAGGAAAGGCTCTCATGCTGTCCATAGAAATATCCACAAATTTTTTATTATTATTTAGCCAATGAAGAAACTTTTTATCTTAACGTCATGTGTATATGCATATGCTTATTCTTATCAATATTATGGCTCTTTTTATTATGCTTTTTAAAATTTCACTTATAAATGCCAGATCCACCTCCAAGACAGCATGTACAAAAGTTAGGGCACAACAATTTGACAGACTATGGACTTGGCTGAAAACTGTGTTATCACAAAAATGGTGTATCCGAACAATTAATCGCTCAAGTCCTTATTGTAACACAATGGTTAGGTATCCTAAAGTGGGATTCTTTACACCCATCTCTGACTATCAAACCTTGGACAATGCCTTAATGAGCTCGTTATGCTTAGGATTAGATTCAATTGGATAACTTACTAAATTGAAGGCAAATTGCAAGAAGAAATTAAGAAACTTCGTCCAATTTGAAGATAGAAGATAAATTACTTAAGAAGAAAACTTATCTTATTATCCAATCCCTACAAAACTGTAGGATACACCTTATAACTTATCCTTATTTCCCCCCAAAATAAAAGATCATTCACATATGCCTTCGTTTCCTCCTTCAATATATACCTCAAATTTGATGTGCTATCCAATCCAATCCAATATTCATAGAGATAGAGTCCTTAACCCACCCCCAACTCGACTTTATGCTCATGCATATATAATGTGCTAAGATGGCCAGACCAAAAAAAATACATAACCAGAAAAACGCCCCAAGCAAGCTTAGGAAAGTAGAAAGCCCGCCTCGGAAGAGTTTGTAGAGTAACCATGACCCACCAGCAAAGACAGATGCCAACCAGTTTCATTCTGCATGGTTCACTCGAATGGTGCTGGCTTTGTCCATATTCACAAGTGACTTCTCTGTGATTTTCAAACCTGGAGACTCCCTGTAAACAAGAAACATCTCTACTGAGTTCAATTCGTTTCGTTGCACAAGAAATTAATTAAAAACCTAAATCAAAAAATTAGCTTGGTATCCTTTAAATGAAATGCTTACTTTGTGTGAAGCCTAATAAGCCCGTTGCTCCAAAGCAACAACAAAGCAACAAGAGCAATGACCACCACCAAACCAAAAATCATCCTTGTGCAAAGCAAGGTCTCCATCCCATTCCTTGCTGTCTGCGCCCCCAGTTTCTCATAGAGTCCTTTGAGAGACACATCCAATTTAGAAAGTTGGCGTTGATGAGACATGTTCAATATGTACTTGCCCTTCTTCGACTTGGAGATTACGAGAACGCACTTTATACCCGGCGTCGACTCGTGTTTTCAGACTCTCTATTTCCTCCTTTGGGCGACCCAAGTACCTGTTTAGGTTCTCCATCTCTTGTATCAATGGATGCAAAGACACTAGGGTAGCATCCAGATTTTTAAACAAGGCTGGACAATCTTTAAGTTTCTGGATTGTTTTTTTAAGGAGAACAACCAGCTCCGAAATTGCAGCACCAAGAATAGTCTCTACTCCTGCCATTTTAGATTCTCCAAAGAGATTAGTAATGATTTCAGCCTAACAGGAAAATCAATTATATAAGGCAAGAGAACAACGCCATTGCCTGGTCCAAATTAGAAAATTTTGCATGTTAGGTACTTCAACGGCTTTTTTTATTTTCTTTTTATTGATGAACTATAGGTCTAGGGGGGCAAACCCCCAAAACCAACTACTTCAACAGCTTTTACAAAAGGCATATCTTATATATACATTGATTTATTCAACTTGAGCTTCATAAAACATCTCCATTTTGACTTTATAGAAGTCGTACGGCAAGTGGATGAATACAAAAAATTTAGCGTTTTTCAACTTTCATAGGAATCATTTTGGTCCTAACTGTTCGAGACGTGCTTAGTAAATTATAGAACCTAAACTTATTGTTAAAAGCGATCGTGGCCATTGATCAATGTATGTATCTTCATAGAGAAGAGACAAGGAGCAAGCTAGATATCACCACAAGTTTCACAACTATTTACTAGATAATGCTATCCCCCGGAGAGGGTGGATTGTCGTGGTTCGCCATTTGCTAGTTCCCTTTTTAATTTTTTATAAAAAAAAAAAAAAAAAAAAAAAAATAAAGCTATCCCAAATTCCCCAATTGCCTTTTTTTTTATTTATGACATTCTGGGAATGTATTGTGATCGGACGCGTAAATGAATATTGAATTATGCTACTTGCAAGACTTAAAAAATGCTGCAGAATATGCAATGTATATAGCTTATATTTATGGCCAGTGGAAATATGTATATATATTTGTGAGCAGAGTCAATAAGCGATGAAAGATTAGTCAAAGAAATTAAAAAACAAAAATCCCTGAAATATTGAATTTTCCAAAGGAATTTCCAAGGGAGTTTCCTTGCATACACAGATACTCTCCATACCAATTACTTTCCCCCCTTGTCTAAAGAAGCTTCCTGCCGATGGCTTGAGATTCCTCCGATATCACTATAAAGAATGTAATTTAGCCTTAATAAAATGTGATCAGTTTAAGGTGCAGACAACAACACCATTGACAGGGTCCAAATTGGAAACTATATCGCAGGTGTAGACTTGCAAAACAAGAGGAAATTTCTCTTAAACCACCTTCAACCGATCAGAAAGGCATATCATAATGGATGCAGTTGCGTTGACCCCAATACTAACTTGATTTCGAGACGTGATGAACCCCAAAAAAACATCCCTACAATTTTGCCTTGTATCGTCAGTCCAAAATACTAACGTTCACTTGAACATTAAGGCAGCAATTGCCTCGCTTTGATCTATTAATTTAACATGGAATCTAGGATTGGATATCTACGTCGCCTTTACCCTTTTCCATGAAGTTGCAGCTCTCAAGAATCAAAATCTTTGAATAAATGCCAACGAGAGTTGGTTGAGTTGCTAAAGATCGTTCTCTTCACTATCAAGGCCTGAGTTTGAGTCATGATGCCGACAATCCCTCTTTGTGGGAAATCTGTAAAAACCTAAAATAGGACTAACACTCACTTTGTAAGTCCTCAAAAAGCATTAGTATGTCCTGCCTTTGGGATGGGGTAGCCTCTCCTCCCCTAAACTTTTTGTTACCCAAAAAAAAACTTTGAATAAATACACTTGAGAGCCAATACTAAATAAATACATACATATATACAGTCCCGATCTCTTGGACCACAGGAGTCCAAGAGATTGTGGTCACCCACCGTTGGATATTAATCTAATGATTAAAAAAACTTTCTTAAAAAGAGTGCAAGAGTGAGTGAATCGTTGAATTTACATCCAACGATGAGTGATCACAAATCTCGTGGACCCCTGCATATATATATAGGCCAAGGCTTACACGCAATAAGTGACTCTATATGAAGAAGGCTTGCATGGTTTCCACGTTTCCAATGATCCTATATGGAAGGCTTGGATAGTTGTTGCGCTTCAACTTTTTACATATAGGACTACTCTTTTTCTAGTGATCTTTTGATCCACACTCGAAGCAACCATCATCGTCCTTGGATTTAGAATTCTCACGCCATTAATGGTGGAAATAAGAATGACAAACCAGAAGGGTAAGAAGCATGAGAAGATCGACGGTTCTTGCTAGCAACACGGGAGAGTAGCCACAAACCAGAGAGACAGTTCCAACAAATACAAACCACTCTCTCTGCAGCAACCCGAAACATCCATCGCGAATTCCCTCTTCAACCCATGCTCGAACGGTATTGCCCATCTCCAAAACCATGCGAGCCTTCTCCATATGTGGTCACTGCGCATACGGTTCCAGGATAGGAAAAGGCTTACCTCTTGTTTGATTGTTAACCCAAAGAGGATTTCATCAAGCCCAACCCATTGCATTCATATTCCTAATGGACTTTTTTATAGCTACCAATTGGAAGCTATATTTGGAAAGTGCTTCTTCAAAAATACGTATTTTATAACTCATAAGCACACTTCCCAAGGTCAAGAGTCAAGAATACTTCAGAAATTATTATATACACTCACTTCCCAAGCAACACTTGCAAATAAAGCAGCTGCTGAAATTAAGCTCTTAATGAATGACAGTTTTGATCATCGTTATTCAATAGCTAGTTTTAATGTGTAATGGCTTCCTAATATACACTTAAAAGAGGATCATGCATTCAATAGCTAGTTTTTATTATTATTTAGCCAATGAAGAAATTTAAATTTAAAAAAAAAATCAATTAAAGAGTGAAAATATGGAGTCGGAATCTCTTTCACCAATTTAAAAAAATGGCGCTATTAAATTAATAATGAGCCCCAAATCCAAAAGGCCAGGGCCAGGCGAAAACAACTAAAGTCTACTGAAAATAACCAAAAGAGGGCAAATAAAAGCCCAAAGATAGGGTTTTAGGAAACATGCCAAAATGTTTTACAAACTCCTCAACTCAATTCAAATCTCATGAAATCACAGTTGTTGATTAATCCAGTTGGTCAACCCCAAAAGACCCTTAAGAAGATAGAGGCACATACACAGCCCGACAATCATCATAGGCAATTCCCGAAGCTCATCCCATTCCGGGAGCTTCAGGCCGGAGAAACCCTGTCGATACTGATCTTGAATAGCTTCGACGCAACCACCGACGATCCCAATAACCATACAAACGAAGACCCCATAGACGGCATACACAAGAAGTTTTCCAAATAACCAGACCACAAAATAACCTAACTGCAACCGCGCCGGACGGGACAATATTATACCGCCGTCAGGCACTGACGCCGATGATGTTGCAAGCTGCTGCTCTCTCACTCCTCCAGGAACACTAAACATGACCCTACTTACCAAAATAAGAAAAATTATGAGCACCAATAACAAGCATGAGGCTTGTAATAAGGAGGCTTGTAGTTGGTTGATCAACTTCTTTATTTCCGTAACCCTAATCAGCGTCTCCTTCCCATCCCTCAGCCCATGCGCCTTGAGTATTTCCAACTGCCTTTTGAGAGCCTCGTCCAAGTCGGTGAGCTTATCTGTATAGCTTGCCTTTCTGTACCACTTTGGATTCTTCGAGCAGTCGCCGACCAGTTTTATGCCGTCGGAGATTATCTTTTTCAACTTTTCTGTCTCCTCGTTTGAGAGATTCAGTTCCTTGTTTTGCTTCTCTATCTGGTCGATCACTGGTTTCAAAGAGTCTATGGTGGCCGTGATTACTTTAAGGTGGGGGCTGAACTTCTTAGTCTTTTCTATCAGATTCTCAACGGCCTTATACAGCTCTGAAAATATTAGTCCTAAGGCAGCCCCTCCAATAAGATCCGCCATTCTCGATTCTCCACAACACAACCCAACACGTACCAAAATCTGATCACAATTAACTTATGTTAGTTCGACATTTTCCAAGTTTTTTATTTGTACATTGAACAAAAAACTAGATCTGAGAGTTTATGGAAAGATTATTACCGCAGCAGAAACAATGTCGACCAACGAAAGGCAGGGCGGTTTACTCGTTCGGGTCGCCGGTGCCAAGGAGCCCGTTGCGGGGTTTCATCCGTGAAGAGCCATCTGATGGTTTTCTACTTTCATTGATTTCTTGACTTCAATGTTTCATATATCAAGAGGAACAAATATTACGACAAAATCATGCGCACACCTAACATATGGGGTGGACAGTGGACTAGGATAGGAGAGTGTTCATACTACGAGTCTATAAGATATGTTTTTTTTTTCTTCTTCTTTATAATATAGTCTTAATAGAATAGATCTGTAATGACGATCATGTGAGAGATCTGAGACTCATTTAATTCAACAAGTCCTCGTACATACATACAATGTTGACTTCATCTCTCTCTCTCTCCGTCTCCGCCTAAAATAGTTCTAATTAAATTAATGATTAAAACTAATCAGATTAATTACAATTAAATATAGTAAAAAGGACAAGAACAGGGGGATTAAAAAAACATGGGATCTTACTTGCCAGCAGCCTAAGCACGTGTTGTTGGCCGAAACGAACAATGAAGCAACAATAAACATGGCCACGTATGAAATTACAGTGAGCAAACTGATATACTTCCACTTCCAGCGTTTACCCGTGTTGTCGTTGTTGCTGTCAAAAGAACCAGAATGGGGAAATCACACTTGCCTCCACTCCAAGTCACGTATTTTCGACCAAAAGAGGAAAAGGATTGTCTTTTTGTTAGGCCCAAATTGGATTTATTTGAGCCCAACCCAGTGAATTCTCATTTCTAATGGGCTTTTGTATATGTATTTGACAGCCCAAACATCGGTGACATAATAGTCACTTTCCCTTTCTTCTTCTTCTTCATCCTCCACCTTTTTGTTTTTTTTTGTTTTTTCTCAAGGCAAAAAATCATTTTTGATCCCTATAGCTTACCATTTTTATCACTAAGGTGCTTGTAGTTTCATTTGATCAATTTTGTCACTGTAGTTTGAATTCTAAGCAATTCAAAGACAATCCCTAATTTATGTCATAGTACTCTAATATGGAGGGCATTTCAATCCAATTTTACAGCCCAACCCTTAGATACTTGTTCAGGCCCAAAAAGTCACGAAAAACCTAATAGCATTTAAAGCCCAATATAACTTACAAAATATAGGAATAAATTAGTCATGTGCTAATTCCAATTATATTTTGGGATTTAACTCAACAAAATAAATATATACATGAGCTTTTAAACAAATTCTAATAATATCCATGCCATGTGAAGCAATAACACGCATGCCAAGCCTATTCCTTCCCCTTCCTTTAAATCCAATATCTCATTAGGCTTGGTCACCATCAAGAATGCTTCACTGTCACAAAAGCTAAAGTCACTGCAACACATGCCCAAGCATTCCATGCACATGCCAAAATAACTCCATGCAAGGTTAATACATTTTTCTTATGCTAAATCACCTACCAATCTCATATGAACCCAAGTTATGTAGTTGTTCGTAGGGGTTGCATGTAGAGTTGTGGTGTGAAAGGTTATGAAGGTCCTCAAGGCCCATGAAAGTTCCTGGATAATGGAGGCTTGGGGTTGTTTGGTATCACCAAATAGTCCAAGCCCATTATTTGGAGTTCTTCCATATGGGTAAGCAAATGAGATTTAATTTTCGACGTCTTCCCGTTACCCGCTGGAAACAAGCCAATTTTACATCTCCATATTACCCATTGGAAACCTTTGGAACCGGAGACAATTGTAGGCGATGGCTATGAGGTTTTCTGGGTTGAGAGAGAAGAGAGAGTTCAAGAAATATCTTTGTACTTCAGTAACTTTTTTATAGAGGATGTACTTATGTAATATCTTCTTTGTGAACGTTCAAACGTTATTACTATGCAGACGCCGTGTATTTTTTATTACCTCTTTCTACTTTCCTCCCTGTTTACAATGACATTCACACAGTAATGACATCCAAACATCCGAATAGGAGAAGAACTGTACAATTCTTCAGGAGTTGTCCCTTTGTTAGGCCAGAATAGGATTTGAATTCGCACTCCTAATGGGCTTTTCATGATTTGTTAGGCCCAAATGCTAGTTAGCTTCCTCTTCCATCCTCTTGTACATTTATTTTCTCTTTTATTACCAGCGCTAGTGATTATGCTCCATAATTATTTTTGGGTCCATGATGTTCCCAACAGTTACAACACTTTGATTCCATCACGATGAAGCCTCATAATAATGTACAATGTCTCACTTATTGCCTCAACCAATTCTTCATGCTTTTATGGTTTTTTTTACGCAATATGCTGAATTTGTTACTTCTCCTTTTATCCCCCCGATCGGAAATTGCATACAAATGGAAAGGTTCATAAGCAACAACCTCAACATGTGTTAACTTACAAAAAACGATATCAAATTACACAATAACTTTAGCAGCACAAAATAATAATCACATATTACAAACCGATTTAGTCGCGGTTTGCTCGGATTGATGTCCACCCTAACTCATAACGCACCAAACAAATTCCTCCGATATGATAATCCAACCCCATCCATCCTAAGCTTAAAGCGTATAAATAAGAACATGAACAGTTGCACCTCGACTTTCACTTGCAAGATTATGGCGATGAGATCATACGGTTCCCGGGCGCTTGCGTGTGGACCCTGTGGTAGTTGGTTCCTTCTACCGACTTGGATTGTATAAGGTCAAAAATCCAGGGCATGCAATTACTGAATATCCACATGGGTGACATGATTAGAGGCCCCCCCACACACTATTTCTAAGTCTTTTCACTCTAAAGTTTATTTGGACAGATAATCAAAGCATACTACGTGACTGGAATTGGATAATAAAACAAAGTCCGCATACCAGATGTATGAGTAACTGTTATTTTATCATAACATTGTCAAATTATGATTCTATGCTTCTACTTAATAATTTTCTTATCAATAAATTTACCGCATATATAAACAGTAACAAAGTTAGGACTACTTTGAACGTCCAAAACACACGTAACAAGACAATGTTTTATAATTAGTACACACCAATTTAATGATAAAAAGAACAAAAGAGAGGCTAAGAACCACTTCCAATTTCTTGGGGCCATGACCTTAAAAACCACATTTTCTCTTAATAGCATAATATGATGGTAACATTAAAGGTGTGTGAACAAATTTGGGGGCATATCATGCCTAAACATGGTTCCGCCCTCGTGTATATAATTTGGAGCCATTCTCGGTCTCATATCCAAAAATTTAACATCAATATTTTACTATTCTAAGAGCATATCCAGCGCCATACCCAAACTGGGGGAAAGGCAGCCCTGGCGAGCCCAAGAGACCTCCAGCTCAGGAAATCCAGCCCGGGCAAGGCATGAGACCCACTAGCTCGGGCAAGCCCACGGGCTAATCTTGCCTGGGCACCAAACCTCGGGCTGCTGACGTCATCAGCTTATTTTCAATTTTTTTTTACTTTTGGACCCACCAGCCCACATTGCCCAATGGTTACAAGCCATGTGGCTTCTTCTGGAGCCTCTGATCAAAAAATCTTGTACAATCCAACAGTTGTCCAATTTTTGGCTTTAAAAAATTGAAAAAAAAAATCAAAAAATTTTAAAAAAATATCAAAAAATTCTGGAAATTTTTTCTATACATACCTACCAATATTGTTCACTTTCCACACCAATTTAATTTCAAAATTTTATCCGAAAATGTTATCTTGATTTTTATGTGAGGATTTTACGATAAATATTAACACTTGGGAATTGAAAATCTTATCCGAAAAGCTTATCAAAATCAATGTTTTAAGTATAAAAAATAAAAAATAAATTTAAGTGAATAGTAATTGCCTTAGACTTGCCATAAACTTAGCCCTCATGGGTGGAACCACAAATGGCAAGGCTGATACTATTCACGTGAATAGTGGCAACCCTTGCTTGCCCTTGCCTTAGACTTAGTCCTTGTGGGTGGAAGTGCTCTAAAATGCTCATGTAGGATGACAAACAAAAAGTGAGAACAAAATTGCCTTAAACTAGCTAAATGATAGAAACAAATTATGTCTGTCATCAACAATTGTGTATGAACTATGAATTAACAAATCCAATCCAACAGGCTTACAAAGATTTGTGCTTAATTTAAGCTTGTTGAAAGATTTGAACTCTACTGTGATTAAAAATATGAGGCTGGATGTACCATCGTTGAATATTCCTCCTATCTAACTCTCCCCCCCTCCTCCCAACAACTTGCTTTCCTACAGGGGATCAGTTGACCTAGACAAATTCTGAGTCCAACAAAGCTTTTGAGAGATGGAAGAGAGCAAGTGGGATATGAATCCTATGCAGCACATGCACATAAGTTCTACCCTACACTGCATTATCATTAGGCTGCAACCTGGGCAGGTCAGGCCATGATTCATAAACTAAGCATCAGTGGGTCTAATCTTGTATTTGACTCGTTCATGCATGGCTTTAGTCAACAGTCAATTCACCATTTAAACTGAACCACGTTGTACCTTATAAAACGTAGTTATATATGAGCTGGATTGGGCTCAGCATTCAACTATGTCATGCACATGCCCCACCCTAATAATATCATATTGGAAAGTGCAAAGGAAGGAAGAGGACGAGTCCCATGATAACCTTGAATGGTATCGGGATGGCAAGTATCTAGCTGCTGCCTCAGATATGTAAATTGTCTGTCTACCCAAATTGTGTCTTCCACTGAGACAAAATGCTTACATTAGTTGTTAATGTATTTGTTAATTCTATATGAATTATTGTAATTAAGTGTTTAATTTATATCAAATGAACGTAGATTTTTATGATTTATTTTCACAAAAGGTTGAATATTTACATTATAGTTTTATAATGGGTCCACACATTC